ACAGATGGTTGTCCAATCGCTTCTTTAAAACGTCTCATGTTGGGGAAGGAAGGAAGGAAGGAAGGAAGGAAGGAAGGAAGGAAGGATAACAGCTTAACAGAATAACAGAATTGGAAGGGACCTTGGAGGTCTTCTAGTCCAACCCCCTGCTCAGGCAGGAGACCTTATAGCATTTTGGACAGATGGTTGTCCAATCGCTTCTTTAAAACGTCTCATGTTGGGGAAGGAAGGAAGGAAGGAAGGAAGGAAGGAAGGAAGGAAGGAAGAAAGGAAGGAAGGAAGGATAACAGCATAACAGAATAACAGAGTTGGAAGGGACCTTGGAGGTCTTCTAGTCCAACCCCCTGCTCAGGCAGGAGACCTTATAGCATTTTGGACAGATGATTGTCCAATCTCTTTTTTAAAACTTCTAATGTTGGGGAAGGAAGGAAGGAAGGAAGGAAGGAAGGAAGGAAGGAAGGAAGGAAGGAAGGACAACAGCTTAACAGAATAACAGAGTTGGAAGGGACCTTGGAAGTCTTCTAGTCCTACCCCCTGCTCAGGCAGGAGACTCTATAACATTTTAGACAGATGGATGTCCAATCGCTTCTTTAAAACTTCCAGTGTTGGAGCACCCACAACTTCTGGAGGCAAACCAGAAGACCCCCCCCAAGGTCCCTTCCCACTCTGTCATTCTACATCTTCTACACCTATGATTTTCTTACTAGTAGAGAGTCCATGTTCCTCCTTGAGTTCAGGCCCTGAGCAGAGGGACTGGCCTCCTTGAAACATCGCTTAACCTCTGGTGACCAGGTACAAGCTGATGGAGCAGGTAAGAGCAGATTTCGGTGACTTGACGTGCCTCTGTCTCTTGTCCTTTTTTCAGCTCATGTGCTCCTCCCTCCAGAAGGCCTTGTTCGACGAGGAGGACCACGTGAAGAAGCTGCAGCAGAAAGTAGCCGCCTTGGAGAAGCGCAACAAGCAGCTACAAGGCCGCGTGAAGAAGGTCAAACGTTTGCTGAGGCAGACCAGGAAGAACGGCCGACACATGGAACTGATGAACCAGAAACTCAATGAGAAACTGTCTTCTGCGGGGTCTCAGTTCCCCTACGCGAACGCCTTAAAGCAAGGCCATTCTCATGCCACCTACCTGAAAGCGTGAGAGCAACGCTGGCCCTTCAAGCTACAAGTCTTAGCGATCCAACGGTGTCTCCTTCTCCACCCTATCTTACCTTGAGGAAGACTCAACGGGCGTTCAAAGTCTTTCGGCTTTTGACCGTGAAGGATTTCGCACCTCAAGGGAATATCTCACTGGGCTTCGAACCGACTTTCGTAAACGTCATTCAGTTTTTCCCTCGGAGGGAAGCGTGGGCCGTTGCCTTCAGAGCAGTTGGCTTGAGACCAACTAGGAATGGGTCTAAGGCAGTGGTCTCCAACCTTGACAACTTTAAGACTTGTGGACTTCAACTCCCAGAGTTCCTCAGCCAGCTTTGCTGGCTGAGGAACTCTGGGAGTTGAAGTCCACAGGTCCTAAAGTTGCCAAGGTTGGAGACCACTGGTCTAAGGACCATAGTTAAGGGGAGGAGGTGGAGTCTTGGACGGGGATACAGGATTACCGGTAGTCCGCGATTGACAACAGTCCGTTTAGAGATTGTTCAGAATGACAATAAAGTTGGGTGATGTCCTGTTGTGACCTTCTGACCAGCAACGAAGGGCGAAGACTTAGTTAATCTTAATTAATTAATGTTAATTAATTCACTTAATTAAGTTAACTGAGATTCACTTAATAGCCAAATGACTAACTTTATGGAGATTCTCTGTCATCCAAGACATGGTTATCCCAAAGGTGCTTTTATTTTTCAAGAGGCAAATGATCTTCCTTCTTTGAAGTTCTTTCACTTCTCACTCAAGAAGCTTCTTCAGCTCTGACTGGATGGTGGAAGCAGAACTGGTCATTTGCATCCTTTTAGAGAGCCCGGGAGGCTCTCACAACAGTCACTCGTGCCCTTGTGACCTCTAGGCTGGAGTACTGCAATGTGCTCTACATGGGGCTGCCCTTGAAGAGTATTCGGCGACTTCAGCTAGTCCAGAATGCGGCCGCGCGAGCGATTGTGGGCGCACCTCGCTTCACCCACATAACACCTATCCTCCACGAGCTGCACTGGCTACCTGTCGATCTCCGGGTGCGCTTCAAGGTGCTACTTGTCACCTATAAAGCCCTTCATGGTAGTGGATCTGGGTACTTGAGAGACCGCCTACTGCCAATTACCTCCACGCGACCTATTAGATCTCATCGATTAGGCCAGTGTTTTTCAACCTTTTTTGTGCAAAGGCACACTTTTTTCATGAAAAAAATCACGAGGCACACCACCATTAGAAAATGTTAAAAAAATTTAACTCTGTGCCTATATTGACTATATATAGGGTGTTTTTCCCACGGCACACCTTACACTATGTCACGGCACACTAGTGTGCCACGGCACAGTGGTTGAAAAACACTGGATTAGGCCTCCTCCGAGTGCCATCTGCCGGTCAATGCCGACTGGCAACCACGCGGAGGAGAGCCTTCTCGGTGGTAGCTCCGACCCTTTGGAACGATCTCCCCGTGGAGATGCGTACCCTCACCACCCTCCAGACCTTCCGCACAGCCCTCAGAATCTGGCTATCCCGTCAGGCCTGGGGCTAAAGACTGTAACCCACCCGAATGGTATGAATGTTGTGTTTTTTTAATTATGTATTGTCTTATATGTTAAAAAGTTTGTCTCCCCCTCCCCCTTGGATTGTGAGCCGCCCTGAGTGCCCCCCAGGAAAAGGGCAGCATATAAATAAACTTCTATCTATCTATCTATCTATCTACCTTGAGGCCCCTTGGAAGTTTAAGACCTTAATGAGACCTCAACGACCCTCTAAAAGGATGCAAATGACCAGCTGTCTGCAAGGAGTATCAATCCTTCCATTCCCCACCATCAAGTCAGAGCTGAAGAAGCTTCTTAGGGGAGAAGCGAAACCTCTTCAAAGAAGGCAGCAGAAGGTAAAGTTGCCTCTTGAAAAAGCATCTTTGGGGCTAGCTTCATAATGTCCCTCATTCCTTTAACCCAGTGTTTCTCAACCTTGGCGACTTTAAGTCCTGTGGACTTCAACTCCCAGAATCCACCAGCCAGCTATCGCTGGCTGGTGGATTCTGGGAGTTGAAGTCCACAGGACTTAAAGTCGCCAAGGTTGAGAAACACTGCTTTAACCACTGCGGCAAGACACGTTGTAAAATGGGTCAAAGCTCGTTGAACAACCGTCTCGCTTAACAACAGAAATGTTGGGCTCGATTCTGGTTGTAAGTCAAGAACGACCTGTAGTCCAGTAGATGAAGCACTGAAGGGAGGTTGAACCTTCTCCAAATGGTGGGAGGAGAAATGACCTCCATGCCAGCTCATTGAGGAAGCAGAAGCGTCTAAGTGTAAATAATAATAAAAAAGTTTATACCATCCGGATCCTGAGAAAGTCTTGGTGTTAACGCAAAGGGATTCTCTGAAACTGGCACGAGTGAAATTCACTTCTGTCCAAAGACATTCATGGATCAATAGATGGGCTTCAGTAGAAGCTTCTAGCTTTGAGTAACACTACTACACCCTATCTGGAAGGAAGCTCCCACGGGGAAGGGTTTTTTCCTGCTGATTCCCATGACTCTAGTTTTTTTTAAAGCTACTGTTTCTTTTACATCTGTTTTATTGCATTTTAAATCACACTAATCTTTTTTTTTCCAAATTAGTATATATATATATTTTATTTTTCATTTTCATACACTCACATGTAAATCACACTAATCATAATGCCACAGATGTAATTTTCACATTCTTTCCTTACATTCACTTCAACAATGTCACTCTTGCCTCCTTCCCTTCATAAAATTTTGGAAACAATTATACCTTCTCCCCCCATCTCTTTCTCTCTTTCTCTTTCTCTCTCTCTCTCTCTCTCTCTCTCTCTCTCTCTCTCTCTCTCTCTCTCTCTCTGTCTATCATCTCTCCCTCTCTCTCTCCCTCCCTCTCT